ATGCGTTTTATTTTTAAATTTTTGAATACCGCCTTGTCTTCTTCTTCTTCTTCTTCTTCTTCTTCATGTTCTTCTTTTTCTTTTTCTTTTTCTTCTTCCTCTTCTTTGCTCCGTATACCAACATGAATTGGGCGATCATAGCTCACCACACCTTCGTAGATCTAATCAATATTTGTCCGCTTACGAGCTCTGCCAGTCCATGTCCTGCCACCCATATACACTGGCTTTTTACATAGGCTACATGCGGCTTCTCTGTCATTCTCGCCTTCGGTGCGTCCCGTGAGTCTCCAAGTTCTCTGAACATCACATCATTGAACAGGTTAAAACAAATATGCTAGAAGATATACATTTATTTATTTTACCATTTGTTACTATTTGTCATAGAGAGATAGGTAATTTGTCGCCATTTTAAATTTTTAATTTCGCGCATGCGTGTTAATTTTTTTTTATTTTCTGGACTGTCCAGTATAGAAGGGTCAGTTGGGTACCGTCTGTAAAGAAAAAGAACACCATGACGCAATTCACTCTGCCAAAATTTGGAAAAATCATTCTGTACTTCTTGGCATTCGCGCTGGAAGCTCCAATACAAACATTTTCGGAGTGTTTGGTTGTCAATCTGAGGACAGTGCAGAGGATTCAGAAAGAGTTGGATGAGTCTAATGATGATAACGAAGGTACGGCAGCTCAGAAAACACAACCTAATCGTTCTGATAAGAAAAGAACACCCGAAGTAAGGTTCTCAGACTCAACACAGAAGCCTACATAAAGTGGTTTGAGGAGGCAGTGCTGCCTTGTGTTAAGAGGTTGAGTGCTAGAATGCACTCTGCCTGGCAGCAGGACTCTGCACTATGTCACACTTGTAGAAGAAACCACTAATGGCTGTAAGACAATTTCTGCGACCGCATCAACCTTTACATCTGGCCATTTAACCTCCTTTCATTATTGTGTGGTGCGCAGTTGAGCGAGAGACCAACAAAACAGATTGTAAGACCAAACATGAACTGAAAGCAAGGATTATGGCAGCAATCACTAATTTAAGCAAGGAGACCATCCAGAGGAGGTGCAGGAGATGTCGAAGTCGTTTGGAGGCCGTGCTTGAAACAATTGTCGATTTTATTGAATAAATGTAATCTTTAGTATTTCAAGATTTTATTGTGTATTGTCGGTCAATATATCTGTCCAAATGAGATATCACTGGTATTTCCATTTTTGCGTAATTTAGACAACAGTTTATACATCCCAAACTATATACCTAGTAATTTTCTTAGCATAGATTAGATGTGACACAAGTACGGGGTACCCAGTGACGGTCACACTCACTGATAATTATTCTACCGAGATAAGCGATTACACGAGGAACCCTGTTACGTAAAAACACACACACACATACACTTACACACATACAGACGCTCTCTCACACACAGACACACATATATATGTAAATATACATATATATACAAATTTAATGAGAACGAAAATAATATAAATTCTAACGTTGACAGCATTATTTCAAAAGCGGGCTCAACATCAAGAGTAAATTGGTAATTAATTATTATAATTCTTACATAAGGACAAAACAAATTACTCACTACAAAGATGCATTCTTGATTCGATGCGACTGCATTTCGACACGTGAGAACCAAAATTTGCATATATATATATATCCATAAATAATTTATATTAATGCTTAAATATATATATATATATATATACACACATATATATATATATATACATATATATATACACACACACACACTAACACATATAGATATATATATATATACATATATATATAAGCAAGTGTAAATGGATATAAATCCGACAGAATGTAGAAATTTTGAAAAACAAACAAAAATCCATAAATGTAGTTAAAAAATGAAAGAATTGTCGACGTTCAGACTTTTTTTCGGTTTAGGAATACGTTATGAAAGCGTCGCCCATGTGACTACGGCGTGACCACGTTAAACGGAAAGCTGATCTTTTAAAAATTTTCAGTTATCTGTTTTACTTTTGGATAAGACTTGTGTTTTTATGTCCATCGTTTTCGTCATATTGAACTGAATTTGTATTTTAATGAATTTTGTCTTGAAAATGGTTTATTAAAACCGAAACGTCTGACGTCGACAATTCTTTCATTTTAACTACATTTATGGATTTTTGTTTGTTTTTCAATTTTTCTTACATATATATATATATATATATATATATATATATATATATATATATATATATATATATATATATATATAGCGAAATGGATCTTAAAAAAGCCTGCTCCTCGGAAGAGGCATTTAGGTGAAACCTAGGTAGGTAGATCCTGCCTCATTGGACATTTTTTTACTCGACTCAGCGTATTGTTCGAATAAGACTTGTTTTTTTGTCCATTATTTTGAGTTTTCCTTTGGACTGAAAATTTTGATGAATACTGGAAAAAGGTTTTGGAAACGTCAGATGTTCATTTTTTTATTCCCATATATACCTATTTTGTTTATATTTTTTATTTTCAAACTGTGTTTTCCGTATTTTTTCCAGATTTTTACATTTATAAGATTATATATATATATATATATATATATATATATATATATATATATATATATATATATATATATATATATATATATATATATATATAACGGCAACTATACATCTCATATTTAAAATATAAAATATATATATATATATATGAATGAATTGCGTTTTATATATATATATATTCATATATATGAATGAACTATATTTATATATATATATATATATATATATATATATATGACAAACTGGATAGACATTTTGTGAAGCGTTTCATATATTAGGATATATATGGATATATGTTGTTGACGTTATATATACTGCATATATATATATATATCAAGAGATGCTGGTAGTTTCAAAATTTTTGAAAGATTTTTTTGATGTTTCTTTTTCTCAATCTAGTCGAATTAATCTCTATTCATTATATTTATATATTTTAAAAATATATATATATTTCAACATAAAGAATCTATAGAAAATATAAAGAATGCTGATAAATTTATTGAAGGAATGTTTGTTAATTAAGATTTCCTTTACTGTCTCTCCATTGGATAAAGGTTGGGACCAAAGTGTAGTACCCGTTCTAACCTTTCGTTTGAAATGAATTAATGTACAACGTGAACATTTTGATGATGTCATTAATTTCTCTTTGATTTAAAAATGGTAACTGGGTATCAAAAAAACTATCTTCTTATCCGGAGATTGGCGCCTTTGAGGACGACTTCTTAACTGCCTTTGTTACCAGATTCACTCTTACTCGGTGTGGTATCACCTGTTTCCTCCCAAGTACATAATACAAACACTTGGGTGAAAACCCTATGAAAAATAGAAATACATTATTATCTAAAGATTTGCAATACATATATATATATATATATATATATATATATATATATATATATATATATATATAGTTAAATTGAAGATGAAAATTCTTAAATCAAGACTCAATTGGTATCAAATGACAATTGTAAAAAAAAATCATACATTACACCAACGCATTTCGTCTTCCGTTCTTTTTCAAGGCATTTGAAATCGAAATATTTAAACTTATAGTTACATTAAAATTCAAAATTAAAAGATAGACGTAACTATAATGCACAACTATATTGTTTAATGGAACTATATCTTTCCAAAAACATTTGGATTTCATTTTTGCCTTGAAAAAGTTGGAAGATTATAGTTTTCATCCTGTCTTTTTTTCCAATTGTCATTTGACACATTATTATATATATATATATATATATATTTATATATATATATATATATACAAAATCAAAAGATAAATATTTACCAACAATACATTTCTAAAGCAGAATTACCAACAATAAATTTTATAGCAAAATGACCAACAATACATTTTTCTGTTGTTGAAGTCACAAAACTATGTTCAAAATATTTAGATCCCGACATTAAATAATAGGTTGATATACTATTCAACAAAATTTTTAAAAAGTTACATGTGATATCCATTTTAGTTGTTGCTGCTGCTGAAATTCCTCAAGTGATGTGGTTTCTGTTATTTGGTAGATTCATTTATCATTTGTAGCGCCAGTCCTTGAGATCCAAAAATGATGGTCACCACTAAAATCTATCTACTTCAGAAGCCATATTTAATCCTTGAGTAAAAGCAGTTGTATACAACTGACAATTTAAGTATTCCTGAAACAGTGTGATGTTATGCACGGCATTCATAGGAAAGTCACGATCTGATTAAAGCATTTACGAACACGACTAGATTTTAGAATTAATCTTTTCGTTTTGTAGCAACTTGCGGTATTGTGCGAAACTAAACGTATCACAGCCTATTCTATGTTCAATTTTCTGATCATCTGTACTAAATTTATTACTTGTTTTAATACTTATTTTCTTTTGACACTAGTATGACAAAATGTAACTATGTCAGCAAAGAGGTTGGCTTCAGTTAACTAGTAAAACTTATTCCGTTAAGTTCAGAGTTGATGGGCACTCAGTGTGGTGCCAACTTTTTGTACAATAATGCTCTTAGGAGAGGCGCCCAAATCGATTCTGTTATTTTGAAGATAGTAGCAAATAAATTAAACAAATCAGCTTGAGAGAAGTTATTAATATTCAAAGGTTCATAATCGGTTCAAATATAATCCTTCTCGGAATACGATAGTAGCATCGTTAGAAACATCTACCGTGTAAATTCGTGTATAAACCGATCCGACAACCAGCCTATTTCACATTTAAGAAATGAGGTGAACAGATCAAACATCTTGTATAAGCTGAAGCACTAATCAAGTCATTATTTTCAAGTGGCGTTAATTTATTATTTCCTACGAGTGAAGAATTTTTTTTTTCAGGAAGTTTTAATATTTTGATATCTAAAATGTTTTTAAGTGTAATTTGATTATAGTTTTTGCTTTGTAAGTACACAATGGCATTTTTCCATTTTATAAAGTTTGTAAACGTTTTTGGAATTTTTGTTTACTTCATTTCGCAGACGACAATAGCGCCATCTTTCGAATGTAACATAATTTTATTTAATATGCAAATCAAATGGAAGTCGGACCTAAAGAAAAACAAATTAGTAATAAATAACATATTTATTATTTATTTTTTTACTGAGGACCTAGCCTGATATTAATGTTAACATAATTCGACATTCGGATGAAATATTTTCATTGAATATTGCTGACACATCTGGTTGTAGGCATCTGCTATGCCGTCAAAATACACTTGAGAAAATCCAAAGAAGTTGCATTCCGGTAGGTCCTGATATGTGCAGTTATTTTACAAGCGTAGATTAGAAAAAAAAAGGGCCGAAAGTAGGCGTGGCGCAGTCATTAAAATCGAACTCCACCCAAACGTAATGATTCTAAGTGAGAAATGCCTTTAAAAATGATTTCGATAATTCGATGTGTCCGGGTCCTGATCCAACTTAATATATTAAGCAAGTTTCGTCCGCCTTAACCTTTATTTCCGCTGCCTTTTCGAAATCGAAAAAAACAAATTGGTAATGCTTTTCTATTTAAACCTAAAATCTTAAATTATTCCAAATTATTGGATTGTTTTTTTTTAATGCATATCAACTTTAAAAAAATTTTAAAACCGAAAAGATTTTATTGCTTTTTATTTTTTTTTTCCAAATAATTTATTTGCTTTAATTAAAACCTATTTTTATACTTTCTTTAGTTTTCTACATATCCCCAGTTTGGGGGTTAACTATTTACATAGCTTTTGACCTTGACAGATTTACCACCCGGGATGCTTGGACCTGGTAAAACCGGCAATTAATGGTGGTTCAATATATAACTAATAAGATCAGAAGGCATTGCTTTTAACGTAGTTTATCGTCATTACCCAAGACGCGGAAATAGTTTATCTTTCTTACCCTGTACACGGACGTATTTTTAAACCTTATGTCCCCGTACAACAAAACTTTTTAATTTCGTACGCAGTACCCTTTTATTTTCAGGCTATATACCCGGTCTGTATTGCTATTTACCCATAACAGGAGGATTCATACCTACAAAATCGAAAGGGTTCATTAGCACATAAAAAATAATTTCAGTCATTTTTAATATGCGTGATACACGTTTAGGCGACAATGTATCTTTCAATTTAAATGATTGAAAATTTAATAAATTTTTTTAATTTTTTTTTAAAGAAAATGGAACCAATTTCCATCCATTATTCATAGAAAATAAATGTGTAAGACATTATTTATCCATAAAACTTTTAGAGGAGAAGGCAATAATCCATACCTCTTTCGTAAATAATGAATTAATTAAATTCGACGAATTGCATATTTTTTTATTGGCTCTCCGATTCTCAATTCGATATTATCCATTACTACCACCAACAAGATAATTAGTTTTATAATTAAATGATTTTTAGATAGGTTTGTTTTTAGCAAAAATAAAATGATGTTAAGATAAAACAATTTCTACTGATAAACAAAAATCTCACTGACTATTTAAGATCTTTGTAAAAAAAAACAAAACCTTTCACAAATAATTATATTGGTATAATTATTCAATTTTAAAATTGTTTATCAAAAAGCCGATCTCTATAATTTTTTCAAGCATAAAATCAATGATTCGATGTTTATACCATATGAATGTTCGATTTATATCGAACAAATTTTATGCCCTATGTTTCAGCAGATAACCCATCAATTTTTTTCAAAATTCAGGCAAAAGGTTCTGACACGTACAAAAAAATTGCGTCTTAAAATTTTAATTATGGGCATTTTAATAAGAAAACTAAAACTTTAACAATAAGTTTTTTTTTTCAGTTTTAATAATTTCAAAAATTAGTGATGAAACTTGAAAATAAAAGTGTACCTTGAAATGGACTGTCATTGTGTATTTAAGACATTTATATATATATATATATATATATATGCGTATATATATAAATTATTAGGAGGATTTGATAATTATATTTAAGTAATTCATCGAGTCTGAAAGAAACCTCAACAGAATGCAGAAAGCACTGGATGGCCGTTTCGTTCTATATTTGGGACTCAGTGCGCATCCACTACCGAGAATTGAAACACTAACAGTTAGGTTGTCAAACAAACATCATACCAACTGTTCCACCGGGTCTCGGCGACGAAGAGATTGCAAATCAGACTCAATATAGCGCCGCTCGCTCACATATTCCGTGGTGGAACTCTTACTGAGTTCTCTGTAACCATAGGACTGTGCCTCCTCGAGCCAAGACTACTCTCACCAAGCCGTTCACTCTAGAGCATTAGAAGCCGGTTCAAGCAATGATGTACATGATAGAAATTATTAGGAGGATTTGATAATTAATTTAAGTAATTCATCGAAAAAAAAAAATATATATATATATATATATATATATATATATATATATATATATATATATATATATATATATATATATTTGTTATTTTGATATGCTTTGGAATAGAAAGTATTTGAACTGAACACTATATTTCATCGACGAGAATACACTATTCTACATTCGATGACCAACTCCAGGGATATATTCTCCAGTACTTATTTAATACTGACCAGTTATTACTCTCCTTGTTTGGAACTTAGATGAGATATGAATCGACAGACAACGGAACGAGAAGGACACCTGGTGTCCGTTGATGGAATAAAGGGTTTAGTTCGAAATTCTCAGAAGCTTATCCAGATCGACAAGCACATGATTGAGGCTCGAGGGTACAACGGCCGAGCAGTTGTGACAATGACAACAAAGATGGGGACAACAGTACACATGTAAATAAATTCCTCATCACCAAAATTCTGAGGGAATTGTCAAAATTCTTAAACTAGATCAGTTTTTCTCAGATTTTTTTTTAATTCAGGGCGCACTTTTTGAATAACTAAAACTTCAGTGCGCACTTTCAATTTTAATGAAATTTGAAAATAGGACAATAATAAAAGAGGTCTCCTGAAATAAGGAGTTTTATTTAAGACATTATATATATATATATATATATATATATATATATATATATATATATATATATATATATATATACACACAGAGAGAGAGAGAGAGAATAAGAAAGGGAGTGAGTGTGACAGATTGAGTGATTTGAACGTTAGCTTTCCAAGAATAAAACCTGAGTCCGAATTCCCCAATAAGGAAGTCCTCGATTTACGTCGGACCCCACGTACGAGGTTTCGTGGTTACGGCCCGATCTCCCATAATATAATAGGTCATCACTCGGTGCTGTATGAAGAAGACAGTGTTGTTGCTTCACTGACTATACGCCATATTGGATTGTGCTACAATAGCCCCCTCTCTCTCTCTCTCTTTCTCTTTCTCTCTCTCTCTCTCTTACTCTCTTTATCTCTCTCTCTCGTTCGTGTCGATTTCTGGGGAACTTTTTTGTCCTTCATTATGGCTCCCAAGCGTAAGGCAAGACGCGTGGGTTTTTATGTAAGTGTGTTCCGACCTACGTCGAAAATAAGGTTAGGTTACGCAGTAGGAACGGATCTCCGCCGTAAGTCGAGGACCCGCTGTAGTTGATGTTTCAGGGATGCGATGTCTTCATATTATCTGAATCGGATCATATCTCAATGAAACTGTATGGATCCAGTTGTTTCAAAAGCTGGCGATGGTTGTTCTAGCACGAATTCACAAGTCATCGTGATCGAGTGGTTGATTATATGGAACATGTTCAACTACAACTCTCTCCAGAAATTCTAACTATGCACTGTTCAGCAGATTTGTCGTACAAATCAAACCAGAAGCACAAATGTTCAAAAACAGGTGCCCCTCAAACATAAAAAAGCGAATAGCCAGCACAAGTGTGTAGCCTGTTATTAAAAAAAATGGGCGATATATAAGAATAATTTTTGTTTCTTTCATCATTTACGCAGATAAATAAACTATATATATATTTACCAGGAAATAATCGATACACATTACATTATATATTTAATATTGTGTGAAAATAATAATCATGAGTAAGAACGCGGATCATTATTTAAATAAGTAAGAGCGAACAAATAAAAAGCATTGAAATCGGCAAGTTTTTTTCATTTCATTGAAGCAGACGTTAAAAACACACAAGCCTTATCGCCGCCTTTTTCTTCTTTTTTTCTTCTTTTACTCACTGAAGTAGCTTCTCTGATTTGTTTTTTCCGCCTTTCCTTTTGTGAAACGTGGGCTTGATGAGCCTTGGCAATCTTTTGAATGACCTTCTATTTGATAAACAAACTCCCATTTCCTCATCAATACATTTAATATTTAGTCTATTTTTACATTTAATGTAAGTGCATCAAATCCTAATTCGCAGAGGTATGGCGTGGAAATAAAATATCCAATGATTTACTAGCTATCGAAAGATATTATTCTGAAATGGAAAACCGAAATCGATTAATGGGCACCTATTTATGATTGATTTCTAAGGCTAGATCAGCAGCTTCCCTTTTCTTCAAGAATTTAGCTTCCAGTTTCAAATATCAAATGACAAACACTTGATTTAGTCATGGAAGTCATGTGCTTAGTGTCTCTAGACTTTAAAGAATATAACCATAATCCATAAATTACTCTTCTGTTGACTAAGGGCGAACATGTCTAACTTTAAAAGCACATTAGTGTGCCTTTCTACACCAGTTGAGAAACGAAGCCTTAGAACAACTTACAGTTCCTTCCTTGATATCCATTTGCAGAAATTTAACGATCATACAACGTTGTAACGCCAGTTCTCGTTAAGCAACGTAGAGCTGGGTCAGTAGCTAGATACCTGAACGCTTGGGAATAACAGGTGTTGTAAGCTTGGATGTGCTGGTGGTGGAATGGATAGTGACTCGGGATTGTTAATCGCGCAAATACTTTCGGGAAAAGTATGGATCCACCACTTCTCACTCCCCCAGCTATGGATTAATTAGTAAGAACTGTATCAGGGAATCAATAGTGTCTCCAAAACATTCGTACAATCTAAACCATATATTTTCTAGTTTTAAATAATCTGATGATAAGCCGTAACAATATATATTAAAAGACCTCAAGAATATATATATATATATATATATATATATATATATATATATATATTCTTGAGGTCTTTTAATTATGTACATTGTTCGCACTGTTGTCCTCAACTTTGTTGCCATATTCATGACATTTCGGCCACCGGTGTAGATTGTTCTATTTCCATGTGTCATGCGTCATTCGGATGTCTCAGTTATCTCCCTTTAACATAACTCTTCACGCAAGGTATTGAACTCACAACTCACTATGATCCACTGGGCCATGTGACCTTGAGAACATCAACGTATGATGGGACTGATGTTAATGTCTCAGTAACAGATTTTTTTTCAGAGCTCATATTGAATTTTTTATTGCTATTATTGCTTTCCTCTAGCACTTGATATTACTGGTTCCCATATTGTATTCATTTCTATGTTTGTCTGGCTTAGGAGATTTTTGTGGCCCAGCATATTCGCTGATTTCTGAATTTTACGTATTTTCCAATGTTGTTCTCTGTGTATTATTTCACTATCATACCAGAGTTGAACTAAAGGGAGATAGCTGGGAAATCCGGAAGAGGCGTGGAAATAGAACAATCTACCCTCGTGGAGAAAATAAAGGTTCAGATCGAAACTCCTATCACTTGAAGAAGGTGATATGGGGGCGCGTTAATTGTGCATATATCTTTGTATTATTTATGATTCAAGAAAACACGAAACTTCAAATGTGAATCAACAAGCATATATTGAAATAAAATACACGAACGAAATATACAATAATTTGTATTCAATGTATAGATTAAGGAAAAAGAAGTTGCTTCCCTTTTACCGTATTTTGTTTTGTATTTGATTGTTCAAAAGAAAGTTCCCGTGAGAGAGAAATGTTCAGGAATCAATATTAGAAAAGAAAAGACTTTTGTTAGAATAGATAGCACAAGAATACAATTGATCAGAAAGTGTGTTGCGTTAGAGAAATCAACAGAGTCCTGGTTGATTGATCTTGGCTGAGTTAAAGAGAGATATGCATATATGTATCACAAAATTCTGTGTCAGTGTGTGCGTTTGAAATTTTGTGAGTAAAGTCACAGGTTTTTGTTAACAGGAGAAATTTGCTTGACTCTACTGGCGGCTTATGAGAAAGTCGCTTCTTTTAACGCTACAGGTAGGCTCCCAGCGTAACCGCGGGAAAAGTTGATTTTGCTCTAAAATATGTAATTGGTCAAAATTTAACCAATTGCTAAATTTGTACTAACGAAACAAGTAAGCAAGTTCAAAACAAAAAAATTCAAAGCGACCACTGCGATGGCTAAATTGTCCTATAGAAAAGCAGTATTGATTTATTAGCCAATCGCAGACGAATAAAATGTGGGCGTGGAAAAACATAGCATTCGCTACAATGTTATAACGGTTAAAATATCATGAATATGGCAGTAAAGATAACAGTCCGGACAATATAGATAAAGTAAATAAGCCGTGATGAATCGATTTATCCACTTATCTTTGTTTTTCTGGCTTTTACTTTCAATCTTGCCTCAAATGTAGATTATCTATGTTAAATTGCTTCGCATGTTCTACCCAATTACGTATATCAGTAATTCCAACTTGCCCGTTCTAATGTTAAATGTCCGACTCATTCCAATTTAAAATATGAATAACCTTTTTTTAGGTGTGCGATGTTATATTTTTTAATTTTCTTTTTTTGTTTTAATCATTTATCACCAGGCAAGGCAATAAAGCCATTCAGATGTAAGAGGTTACTAAGTGGTGCAGAATGTGAGGAAACGATACAATAAAGGAGGGTAAACAATAAAAGAACAAACATTAAGAAGATAGAAGATAACAAATGATATTGAATTTAAATGTTTCCTTTTGAAATGGCTATATGCAACCGTAAGTTCTATGCGAAGAGTTTCTTTTCAAACACTTCTCTTGAAGGAATTTCTTCCGGTTTCTTGCTTTACAGTCAATTTTGACTTTCAAAAATTTAAATGCGATGTCACTCGTCATCTCTTGACATTTTAATTCCTGATGCTCTATAATACTCTCTGCTTAATAAGTTTTTTTTCTCATATTCTCTCACACTCTTGTAATTGCTTTTGTATTATTGGCTTTATTGCCTTGCCTGCGCCGAAATGATTAATAAATCTATCTAGCGAGCTAGCTAGGTAGGTAGCTCATCTTCTTCAGATCTATCTATCTACCTCAACTTCTTCGGATCTATCTATCTATCTATCTATCTATCTATCTATCTATCTATTTCAATTTGTTCTTCGTCTATCTATCTATCTATCTCAACTTCTTCGGATATATCATCTATCTATCTCTATCAAATTCTTCGGATCTATCTCTCTATACATCGGATATATGTATGCATGCATGTATGTATGTATGGAATTAACATTAATTCCATTTATAATTTTACGCGCGCGCGAGTTTCCTCCCTTTTGTTTTACACTCGTGCGTGTGTGCGCGCGTTTGACACCCCTTTCTGTCTCTTTTAGTCTAATACAGTAGTAACTGTTTTTGGTCAGCAGTCAAGACGAGCTGCTACTTCTACTTATGCAAATTAGACTTTTTGAATTTTTCCCGCGCGTTTTTCGGCGTTTCAAAACTGCTAACGTTTGCAATCCAGTTGCCTCTTAGCTGTCGACCGGACTGGATGGGCAACTCATTTATTCCGTGCCCTTAATCCATATGCGGGCCGGAATATCTTATTTTTTTACAATGTCGACTGCACCCTCTACCAAGACTTTTTCTCCTTTTGAAGCTGCCAACAGGTCGGACCCTTTTCTCCGTTTTCTACCAGAAGACGTTTTAGAGACACACGACACTGTCGTGAGCAAAAGTTCGTTTTCAACTAATGGCGTATTTTTATCCCTCGTCAGGGGCCTAATAAGTATAGGCAGGGATGTCCTACTGAACGAACAAATTGCTAATCACAGGTCAGGACCTTTTTTTCTCCGTTTTCTACCAGAAGACGTTTTAGAGACACACGACACTGTCGTCGGCAGAAACTTCGTGTTCAACAGGTGACTTAAACTTACCCCTGGCTTCGAACCAAATAATACAGGCAGGGGATAGTATTACCTTTGAACGAAAAACATTTTTTCGTCTTTCTCTTTGGGCTCGCCGTAAAAACCATTCTACAAGACCATGCTTCGTTTCTCCTCGGCTAGATGCCCACAGCAGTCCAGAACATTTACCAGAACATTACCTTTGAACAGAAACCAGCGGTCAATTCAAACCATTTACAAGACCATGCTTCATCTCTCCCTCGGCTAGATGCCCACAGCAGTCCAGAACATTTACTTCAATTCAACTTTGAACATTCTTTATAACTTTGAACCTGTACATTAAAAATATGCATAATCACTTACAACTTAAAATATCCACAGTGAGTACTCCTTTCTATCTGTGCGCACCTTCTTTTTCCGGAACTGTATAAAACTTTCTTTTCCCGCCTTTGGCCATCTTGTATTTCTATTTTGGCGCGGAACATTTTCATTGATCCCTACCTTGAGCTAAGTTACTTGTTACTGTTTAATTAAAGTTTTGTTTATTCATGTTTTATAAACAGATGTCTTTGTCATTTTTATTTCGGCTATCTTAATACCATTTATTTATGCACTTGTTGATTGACCCCTTTCCTCTCATTGTTCATTCACGCATTTTACTTATTTTTACTTTGCTTGTAGACTCGGTAGTTTAGTGTGGTGTCTGGCACAAGGCCACTTAGTAATAAACCAGCACTGCACGCTGCCGGGTCTGCAACATATGTATGTATCTATCTATCTATTTCAATTTGTTCTTCGTCAATCTATCTATCTATCTATCTATCTCAACTTCTTCGGATGTATGCATGCGCACATGTATGTATGAATCTGTCCATTTCAATTTGTTCTTCGCTCATCTTCTTCAGATCTATCTATCTACCTCAACTTCTTCGGATCTATCTATCTATCTATCTATCTATCTATCTATCTATCTATCTATCTATCTATCTATCTATCTATCTATTTCAATTTGTTCTTCGTCTATCTATCTATCTATCTATTTATCTATCTATCTATCTATCTCAACTTCTTCGGATATATCATCTATCTATCTCTATCAAATTCTTCGGATCTATCTATCTATACTTCGGATATATGTATGCATGCATGCATGTATGTATGTATCTATCTATCTATTTCAATTTGTTCTTCGTCAATCTATCTATCTATCTATCTATCTATCTATCTCAACTTCTTCGGATGCATGCATGCGCACATGTATATAGGAATCTGTCCATTTCAATTTGTTCTTCGTCTATCTATCTCAATTCTTTTCTGATCTATCTATATCAAATTCTTCGTATCTATCTATCTATCTATCTATCTATCTATCTATCTATCTATCTATCTATCTATCTATCTTATAATATCTTTCGGATCTATCTATCTATCTATCTATCTATCTTAACTTCTTCGGATCTATCTATCTATCTATCTATCTATCTATCTATCTATCTATCTATCTATCTATCCACGTTTTTCATATCGTTATATCGCAACTTCTTCCTATTTATCAACCGCGATCTGTTCTTATGAATCACCGTATCTCTGTCTGAATATTTCTTCATCTCATATACATTGTCCACATTTCATCTGAGGGCATCGACTCTGCCGTTACGTTGGTGGGTGTTGTGTTTCTAATTCATTAACTTTTCTCATCTCTACTTTTCCTTTCATGTTCGCATTCTCATTTTGCCGGATTGTACGAGATCTTTTCCTTAATACATTATGGTCTCCATATTATTTTACTTTCTTTCTTTCTTTTTATCTTTTTTCTCTGTTTTTCATTCTGGAAGAAAATTTTTCTTTTCTGGTTTTCCCTTCATTTTAATTATTTTCTAGCTCGGAAATCATATTTTTTATCATCTCTTATTTCAGGGTATTACCTTATTATCTCTCTCTCTCTCTCTCTCTCTCTCTCTCTCTCTCCGTGTAAATAAATGCTCACAGATAGACGCAATATTAAATCAAGAACACATTACAGAAATTGATCGATTAAAAAATGATGAAGTACGTGGCAGAGCTGAATAGACAGAGAAGAGCAGAAGAAAGTAAAACTATGTAAAATCCGTACGCTGATGTGTGCCTGTTGACAATCTATATAAAACCGTGTACAAAAATCTATAGACGTCAGAATTATTTCGTCGAACAACCTAAAGCGGATCGTCCAACATGTATTTCTGTCCGGTAAGCTGGCACCCTACCCAAAAGCAAGTGTTTCCTACTTTCATTTTCACTTTCATTTTCACTTTCATTTTCACTTTCATTTTCACTTTTCCTTTTAAATGTATGCCCATTGTTTACATTCGTATCTTCTCAGAACATCTTACCTGACATCCGAACACTTCATCTAAGGGTATCAATATTGTTGTTGCTTTGATGGCTTTGAGTTAGGCTATTTATTAGTTTTTCTCTTCTGTACTTTCACTTTCATTTTCACTTTCGCGTTACCATTTTCATTCTGACACGCATTTTTTTCTATTTTCTTTTATCTTTTTAAATCAATTCTTCTGTTTTTTTTTTACTGGTAGAAATTTATTCAATTCTTCAGTTTTGCTTTTTCTTATACATCAATCTTTATCTTCATTTGAATTTTAAGGTTTCTTTGGGTTTTCTTCGTTTCTAAATCGTTTTCCGTTTTCGGTCTTCCGTTTAATTTGCTTTCTTTTCTGCTTTGTTTGATTCATTTTTAGCGTTGAAATCTCTTTCTGCATCGATTCTCTTCCTCCAAAATTCTAATACATTATCCAGTGTTATATTTTTATGTCTGTATTAGTTATGTGCAGAATTGTGCCCTCTTTTCCTCATATTAAACTTCACCCAAGCACCTACACTGGCGGCAAACCGCATGCATTCGCATCAAGAACGATTTCAGCGAATATAAAAAATAGAAATGGGTGTAAAGCAAGGATGCGTCTTCTGACACGACTTGTTCTACCTAAACAGTGAGTCAGTTCTGGGAGAATTGGAAACGTTACCGAGATTTAGCATCGGCGGCCACAATCCTAACAACATAAGACACGCAGCTGACACACTACTGATACCAGACACGGAAAAGAAATTACAAAGTCTCCTGCAGAAGGTAGCAACAGAGAGAAGAAGGGAATAACCACAAGCTACAAGTAAACAGAATGCATGGTCATCAGTAAATGTATGAGACTGAAATGTGATTTTCAGGTCGGCAACACTAGAATCAAGCAGACGCGGAAGTTTAAATATCTGGGAAGTGTTCTGACAGAGGACTGTAAGTGCAACACTGAGATACGTAGACGTATTGGGATAGACAAGGACACGTTCCAGAAGCTGGGAAGATTATAGCGAGACTTGAGGCGACGGAGATGTGGTTCTACAGAAGGCTGCTAAGGATATCATGGACCGAGCTTGTGATCAACGATGAGGTCTTAGAGAATGCAAACAAGGAGGAGGCGTATACTTAACATTAGGAAGAGGCAGCTGAAATTTCTGGGACGCATCATGAGAAAGGAGTGCCTGGAGAATCTGATACTCACGGGTTGATTATAGCGAAAGAACGACAAGGGAAAACAATGCGGCCTTAAGCAATTGGTGACAGAACGTGTTCTGGGGGAGGTGGTAGAAGGAAAGAACTTGTTGAGAGCTGCAAGGTGTAGCGGAATGCGGAGAGCCATGATCGCCTACGTCCTGAAAGGACACGGCACATAGAAAGAAATCAGTATTGAAAAATAAATTAGGTAATTTAATCTGGCACGATGAATCACCAATAATATCGTCGGAAATATATAAAAGGCAAAAGGAAGAAAATGAATTTAACATCAAAGATTTAAAGTAATGCGAATATAATCTGAAAATAATGAATTAAGATAGAAAGAAAAAAAACATTTTTTTTTATTGTTTTCCAAAGAAACTGTATGAATATATAATGAAAGAATGAATAAAAAAAGACATGTGAACAACGTCAGTAAAGGAGAGACACTGTGAGGGGATCAAGATATATTAACATATATATAGACACACATATATAGCTTATAATGATGCAATAAGTAAATTGTCGTCTAAATGAAGCAAAATGAAAATAACACTGACATCTCATTTTAACAGATATAGAGGGTGCGCTGGATAAATTGTCGCCAAAATGATTTAAAAAAAATTAAAACACTGACATCTCGTTTTTACAGGGTGCTATGGATAAATTGTCGCCTGAATGACGCCAAAAATGAAAATAACACTGATATCTCATTTTAACGGATATAGACGCGAAAAATGTGATTTTAAAAGAAGGATGCGAAATAAATTGCCTGAATGAAAAAAAATTTGACGCGAAAAAATGATTTGACGCGAAAAATAACAGATTTTAACAGATATACAGTGTCGATGGATAAATTGTCGCCTGAATGACGCCAAAAATGAAAATAACACTGATATCTCATTTTAACGGATATAGAGGGCGCGATGCATAAATTGTCGCCTGAGTGACGCGAAAAATGAAAACAGATTTTA